ATGTATTTGGCTCTTTGTAGAAGAGTTGACTGCGTTGGCTGGCTGTTGAAATATTGTGAAAGTACTTGTTTGTCTGAAGCATCATTCAGTGAGGAATGTTCGTTCAGTGCAAAGCACATCTGAATTGAGAGAGTGAGCGAATCCCTTGACTTACTGATGTTCGCGATATGGACCGTGGCGCTTTCGCAACTTGTAGTGGAAACAATTTTCTGCGAAGTGGTATACTTGCTGAATTTTTGGTTGCTCGTCGTCACTCGTTTAGACACGTGTTTCAGATAGCCCCCAAATCGATTTTTTGGTTTGTTTGTTCAACAGCTGTATGTTCATAGCGAATCAACGTCGTTTGCGATGGTTTCGCTCATTGTTGAGCGATGAGAAGCAAATAAAAGTAAATGTTTCACTGCTTCAGATTCGCCACACTGACACAGATTACCTCCAACTAGATGTTTTCGAATGAGAGAAGAAAAAGGGTTGAATCTGTTTGAGTTGAATCTCTGTTAGTGTATTTAGTTTGTTGCATGAGAACGCAAAGCGTAATTGTTAGCGTATTTGTAGCTTTTGGGGTGTTAATTCCATCACGATTTTGACTCCTTGAACTCATTTATCGGTGACTGTCTTCCACGCGCCTACTTTCTGACACATACAACGCGTATTCCGTAATCAACAAGCTACATAAAACGTCAACATCGCAAGTGAGAAATAAAAATGGAAATTATCTTTTTTTGCCAATTTTCAATATTTCTCTGAAATCAGACTTTACGTAAGAAAACTTGTCATAGAAAAGATGTAGAGAATTTCTCAAGCTTCGAGAATTTGTATTTACTTTTGTTTGTAAACGTTTCGATGAAATAAAAAGTGCAAAATTATGTTTCTTGACGGAATGACAGCGATTTTCGTCTACTCTATCTGAACGGATATATGTACTGTTAAGTGTCTTCTACATGACGCAACGAAAGAAAAAGGCCAAACGTTTTGTTAAAGCTTTCAGAAAATTGCATCAGAAAATTAGAGAAAAATAGTGAAAACTTGTTTGTTTTAAGAAAATATCTTTCCTAACATTCAAACCTTTTGAGAAAATAGAGCATTTTGGAAAATTTAATTCCAAATTAATTCTGTATCTCACTTTAGTAGAAAAGTTTTTGTAAGTCCTGAACGAATTAGTTGGTCAGAAAATCGAAATTAATAAAACCAAAAATATTAAATTTGAGTATTTTAATTCAATATCAAATTGGCATTAAAAATAAAGCTGATATCCGTAATCAGCGCAAAAGACTGCATCTGGTGATCTATATTTAAAGCTGTTTTGAGGGAAAAAATATTTTGTAACCACCTTATTCGAAGATTACTATTAGCTAACCAAGCCAGTATAGGATCTCCGGGAAATTCCTTGCAATTTCATTGAAAACACATCGTAGAAAGCTAGGAGTCGTCTTGATTCATTCAGAGTTCTGTGCGCCATATGACTAAAGTATGTCAAAGCAGTTTTTGATCGAATCTGCAGAATTGTTTCTTATGCTCCTGATTGTCTAAAAACCCAATATTAGCGTGGCCAACCGCTACGGAATTCCTTTCACCGTATATGAGCTGTATCATCGTAGCGGTAAAAGATAGCGATCTGAACATTTTACCACAGATAAATAACTTCTAGATTTACTGCCAAAACAAATTTCATTCGATTTGGTCAAGTCAAACTCCAGAAAATAAAATTTTTTTCACAGAGTATCTAAACGTTTTCATTTTTCTACAAATTGAAAGTTTACATAAAAAACTGTTTTTAGATCAAAGGTGTGTTGATTTTAACAGGCTTTCAGAACATCTGTTTGGTTTTTAAATTAGCTTATGAATTAAATATAAATTTGAAAATACCTCAGTTACGCAATTAAAAAGATATTTTCTATGGAACTAGGTAGTTTTCGATGCGCTCTTTTTGTTGCACTCTAAGTTCAAGTTAACAAACTGATTTATCTCGTTTTTAAAAATCATTTTATTTATGAAATATTTTTAAACATCAGAAGTCAAAACAAAATGAGCCCTTTTGTGGAGAATTGAATTCTGTATCGATTATTATTATGAATGTGTCTAATATTAAGGGTCACATATAAGTACAACTAATGTAATGGCTAAGCCAAGTGAAACTAGAAAATGCAAGAGAAGTAAAATCAATTTTTGTTTATTCATTTTTGAATTTTCAATTCGGACAACATTCGTTACATTCTGAGGCGATTCTCCATCTCTGATTATGTCTGACATTCGAACACCGTTATCACCGCCATTATCCTCATTATTGTCTAGTGACAAAGATTTGAAACGTATAAATTCAAAAATACCAAAAATGATGACGATCCATACAGTCCAAATCGAAAGCACAGCAATAAAAGCCGTTCGATGGTATGATAAAAAATAGATGCTTAAGAAGATGGTCGGAACCGAAAGTAGCAAAGCCGAAAGACCGGTACAACGATGCAAATAATTAAATAGAACACGATATTTTGTTCCTGGGTGACATCGAAATAGAGCCATCCATGGTTGTAGTTGAGAAAATATAACGATTAATATTCCCATAATCGAATGAGCAAATGCTTTTTGTCCGCTATCCGCTAAGCTGATCCATGTTGCACCAGCAAATGTATAAATAAATAGAAAAGCTAATAAAGTAAGGAAAGCTGCTAACCACATAAATAGCCGATGAGCTTGAAACCAAATGGCTTCACCACAGAGACGCTGCTTGCCTCCTACACGAATCGTTCGAAAATGTCGAGCCATGAGAATTCCATTTGAAGCGAGCCAAATCCAAGACATAACCATCAAAGAACCATGAGTTCGAGCGATGTTATAGGCGGGAAGTGGGGGTTGGTAGATATCGGTACTGCTTGGCGGAGGTATTATTGTTGACATTTTTAGCTGTATTCTATGTTCATGTAAATAAGAAACTCTCTGAAAACTATGTAGCGGTTCGAACACTTTTCTGTCTCTCTCGCTCTGGAGATACGAAAATAGTTCTAAAAACCAGAAAAACAAAAACACTCTCAAATTTTTCTAAAGAAAGCGTTATTTAGGAAAAGAAATTTTATTCTTCTCCGCTCATCCTAAAACATAACCAACAGAACACATCGCTCTATTAAGAGTGAGTTTCTTAGATAGTGATACAGGTCTGGAAGTAAAATATCTCAGAATTTGGTGATTTTCTGCAGATTTCATACAGCCAGGTAGACCTAAAATAACCTCAAAATGCGAGTTTTTAACCCTGTATCTATCCCAGCGGCCGTTGAATCAGTAGTGGTCAAAATTCAACAGATCACATAATGTGTACCCAGTGAGTGTCTGCACCAATTTGTATATAGAATAAATGTAAATGTAAGCTACTAATAATAATACTAAAATATAAGACTAAGGTTCTCGAAGCCAAGTCAGTCCCGGCAGATCACATTACCGAGGCAAGCAAGTTCAATTTAGCACCAAAAGCAAACAGGATTTTCAAACAATTTTTACTTTGGAATAATGCAGATCTATTCACAATCATTTGCGCCAAATATCGAGTTTGGCCCGTTTGTATAGATCCGGAAAACTTTCAATAATTTAAACACCCAAAAGTGACCTGTCTCTCAATTTTCTCTTCTGCTATAGCCCCACTACACTCAATATCCGTTCTACAGAAGAATTTATCCTTTCTCGCATATATAGTCCGCTCAGGCCGAGTGTACGATGAAAACGTTATTTTTTTATTTTTATTTCAAATGGAAACGACGAAAATTTCAGAAAAAAGGATTTTCTTCACAATTTATTCAGAAAATTTCCTAGCATGTTTGCTGGAAAAATCAGGAAAAGTCCTACCTAGTTCGACCTTATCTGCAAAAC